CTAGGTAACAACAATGCCGAGTAATGTAATGTAATGTTTCCTAGGTAACAACAATGCCGAGCAATGTAATGTTTCCTAGGTACCAACAATGCCGAGTAAACACGACGTTCCCTAGGAACACTTGTTACACTTTTTGCCGAATGACCCTTCCTTATAGACGTATTTACGTCAAAATTGACAATGGAACCACGGTTTCGGAGAATTTGACATTTTGGTTTATGTGTTAAAAGGAATAAGTATGTTCAATTCCTGTCAAAACTTTTACATCTCTTTCACGTTTTAAGTGATAGTATAATAGTATCAGTGATTTCTATTATGTTAAGTTTTATTTCTTCTATAAAGAGTGTCTTACAAAAATCCCGATCTGATGCTGATTCAAACTATTATGAAAGAACCCAGATAATTTATGGAACAAACTTAAGTACTAAATTGTTACACTTATTTGCCGAATGACCATTCAATATAGACGTATTTACGTCAAAAGTGAATAAAACTGGACAATTAGAAATCCAGCTACAAGAAACGGGAGTTCCTAAATTTCGCTCGTCACAAAATATTGTTACGGAGATAAAATTAATTAAAATGAGATCGACAGAACGTGTAGCATGCTTTTTCAGATGACAAATAACTTACACAAAGTTTCAGTACAAAAATCTGAAGGTTAGAGTCCACGTAGATGGGAGAATAATATATAAATGGATCTTGGATAAGTAACGTGTGGATTGGATGCAGTTTTTTTTTAAAAAAAAATAGGGTCTTGAGACGCGACGAGATGATAAAATTCCTGCTTAATCAATCATCAAAATATTGTTACGAAGTTTCGTAGGAACAGACATTCACTGTCATTTGTCGAGTTGGGGATTTGTGACTTACCATCAATTGGCAGCCCTGGTCTGTTGTCCTGAGAAATTGTGCTGTGTGGTAAAATCTGTAACATCTTCTTTTGCATTAGTCGTGCGTAAACTCCGTTTCGTGGTCATTCTATCGAGTCTTTAAAAAGTCGGTTCAGTCTGTGAAATCGAATCTAGTATAACCAGATTGACTCACGAAGGCCAACATACAAAAGAAAACACACAGCCAAAACGTAAACGGGTACGAACTTGCGAACCAAACTAAACCGACACACACACCCACAATAACACCTGCGACACCACCAGCAACACACAAGAACACAATCAAATCCTCACAGAAATCTTTAAGCCGACTTTGTTCCCACCATCGGCTTCTCGTTTCATGTTCTCTGTTTTCTGTAGGAAATTCTTCGCGTTGATCCCATGAAGATTCACCGTCTCCTCCGTCGTTGCTCATCGTAGAGACACTAAAATGTCAAGAATCACACAACCGCTTGAAAGCTGTCAGTAAACAGAGTAACAATAGCAACCAACAAACAACTCGACTGAACCGACAATGTGCAAAAACACTGCTCATTGTCGCTTGTTGTTGTTTTCTCGTTCCATTGTTGCCCGTTATTTGCACGATGCGAATGAAATGCGGAGATACAGGCCTGTCCCAAGTCCGTCTGGTGTAATATTTCTACGTAGGCCTACAATGTAGTATAACAACATGGCGGATGCGCGAAAGAACAAAAATTACTTGACCGCGGTTAGATTCCACGCATTGTCACAGAACTAAAGCGTTTTGGGCCTGGTGATAAATCATTTTCATTATTTAAAGGAAACGTCAAGAACGCGTGATTTGTATTGTGGTCTAGAGGTTAGAACGCTGGCCTTGTAATCCTGGGGGGTCTCGGGTTCGATTCCCGGCGGTGCCCGAATTTATAACTTGTGTTGGGCAAGGCCGTGGTCTAGGCAACACGGAGTTTTCCTCCGTGGCATCCCAACAATTACTCCATTCACACACAGAAGAAGGCAATGGCAAACCACTTCTGGATCATCCGCCAAGAACGTATATGAACAGGTCCCAGTCCGAGAAAAGGAGGGAAGGATCCTGTTCATACGTACCTGTCGTCAGACAGAACACTAAAAATTAAAATAAAAAAATTTCAGGACACTTGCTGTTGTAAAAACACCACACCAAGTTTTACCATCGACACAAGTATACAGTTAAAAACAAATGTACAGTAGTCGGTACCCAACCGTGCGTTTCGCCAACGTCATACCTTGGGGGGGGGGGGGGGGGGAGGGGGAACA